ATTCAAACGATTACAATTACGATTTACAGTTTACAAAATAATTTCTAATTCCTAAAATAACTAATTTCTAACCTAATGTAATATTAACCTAACTAAATATATAATAATTTCCCTACAATATAAAAATAATATTCCTAATTCTAACGATACTCAAGTCTCGCCTGTCATACGTATTCCGCAAATATGGGCGGCCCACTATACAGGCGAATGGAGTTCGTACAAAGTAACAAATAAACTAAGCTAAATTAAATATAAATATCAGAATGGCAGTGAACACCGCCGACTCTGAATTACCCCTAATAAATAATTAAATAAACAACAATAAACTAGTAGAACTATCCCAAATTCTCTCACTTGTAATTCGCGCACTGGTCACAACGGTCAGCGCACGTGGCGAGAGGGGACCAGCAAGATAAAAAAGATATCTGGAAAAAAAATGACAAAATTTATCAAAATAGCGCGAATAGCGCGAGTTGTATCGCACTTCTGACACCAATTGTCGTGAATTCGGTGTGTGTTATTTCACACCGTCACAACAAGTAGTTGGAACTGCTCTGGAGGAGGAAAATCACGCACGTGTGTTTGGTTCAACCAGGTTGTCGGCGCGGTTATCGGTCTAAGGAAGATAACTCTATCCAAAATTCACCACACCAGGCATACGTATTTTGCATTGAAATATGCCGAATTGACGTTCACAACATGTAGTGACGCGACTGTGACGTCACTGTTAACACGTCATCATACAGTGTTGACAATACATTCACTGAAGCCAACTCAAATTTTCTGCAGCTATACCACATTATTTAGAATATTTTGATTTAGTTTCTTCTTATTCCTACAGTTCATTGCATTTTTTTTAATTGTAACTACATTGTAGGCATGGACACATAATGGATATATATTATGTAATGTACGTATTTCATGCATTTATGTTACTTTTAACAAGTTCTTCTGAAGTCATTTTATCACAAGTTCAAATACAAAGAAAAAAATTCTTCTGAATTTTGATCTCGGAATATACTCATAGTTTCCAGTAACATGATTTATTTTTAAAGGCGCATTTTGCTATGCCATCTGCTTCTTTACCTTACGAAAATATTTTAGAGAAAAATATGCAGGAAAGCTTTTGATAGGGTTTGGCACTTGGGGCTATTGGCAAAATTGAAATCTTATGGAATTACTAGAAACCTTTTGCTGACTCACTTTCGTCCATTGGTTTTATCAAAACAGGAGTACCGCAGGGTTCCATGCTTGGCCCTTTACTATTTTAAAATTATATATATATAAATGATATTGCTGAAGTTTTACGTTCTACATCTCGTCTTTTTGCAGCGGTATTCGTTATTTTATTGAATAACGAATAACTGTCCAACTTTACCATGCCTCTTTTTGCTGACGATACAACTATTTTTAAATCCTCCACACTTTGTTTTGAAACCGAGTTAAACTCACTATCGCGCGATTCCTGGGTAAAGCAGTGGCTAGTCAATTGTTACCCTAGTAAAACAGAGGTTTTGTTTATAACTAATTCTGTCAATCTAAATGGTCAGCTTGATCTATCTTTGGTGGTGAAATTTTGAATTTTACTGAAACGCATAAACACTTGGGTGTTGTTTTCAATTTAAGTGGGAAATGGTCTGATCATGTCAATTATGTTTATAATTCTGTAATGAAAAAGATAAATAAATGTACTCAGGAAGTTAAAATATATTCTTAATAGGAATACTTTGTATCCCATGCTGTCTTATATCTACACCTTGTCTCAGACCAAAGGAATAGTGTTTATATATCATGCTGTGTTATATCTACACCTTGTCTCAGACCAAAGGTCTAGTGTTTATATACCATGCTGTGTTATATCTACACCTTGTCTCAGCCCAAAGGGCTAGTGTTTATATCCCATGCTGTGTTATATATATACCTTGTCTCAGACCAAAGGACTAGTGTTATATCCCATGCTGTGTTATATCTACACCTTGTCTCAGACCAAAGGGCTAGTGTTTATATCCCATGCTGTGTTATATATACACCTTGTCTCAGACCAAAGGACTAGTGTTATATCCCATGCTGTGTTATATCTACACCTTGTCTCATGTATAACACTTTTATTTTACCGGTGTTTGAGTACGCCTGTGAATTGTGGGATGGATGTACTCTTAACGAATCGGAATTATTTGAAAAGGCTCAAAGAGAAGCATTACGTATCAGGCTGGAAAAGTTATCAGACCGAAGAAAAAAGAGAAAACTGCAGATGTTATTTAAGATGAAAAACAGTATTATACAATTATAGCATGGTGATGAGGTCGATACATGGTTTTATCAACCTAGGTTAGCAATATTAACCGAGGACGCAATATTACTAACCGAGGTCGATAAAACCATGTATCGACCGAAATTACCATGCTACAATAGTTTTATTATTTTAATTGATTTTTTCAAAATTGAAGAAAAAAATGTAAAAAAATATAGTTTTCCATTTTTTTTCCATTTTTTTCCACTTTTTTTTAAGTCACAAATTTTAAAATGAACTAAACAAAAATATCAGAAAAATAACATTTTTTAATTAAATATCTGCAATAATCATTTAAATATCTGCAATAATCATTGATTAACACAAAAAATCCAGAATCTATTTATAGCAGGTTAATAACACTTTTTCTACCAACTTTTTTGAACACCTGTTCCAGAATCTATTTATAGCAGGTTAATAACACTTGTTCTACTAACTTTTTTGAACACCTGCAAACCACTCAGGTTTATAACTAGTTTTACAGGTGGTCACGTGATGTTGTTTCAGCCAATCAGAGTCAGCTCAAAATCAATTAAAATAATAATACTCCTTATTTTCTTAACGATCTTTTACCACCTACGGTTGCTTTTAACAATCCCTATCCACTTAGAAACAGAGATGATTTTATCGTTCCAAATCATAGACTTTCTTGTACACGCTCTTCTTTTTTACCATCAACATTACTTTCTTGGAACGGGTTAGACGTCGAAACAAGATCTTCTCCTTCGCTTTTTACTTTTAAATCTGCTATTTCACATCCAGTTAATCAAAAAGCACCATCCTTCTACAGTTTTGGAGAAAGAAAATTTAATATATTGCATACAAAGTTGAGGTACAAATGTAGTCCGTTAAATTATGACCTTTTTAGAGTAAATCTGACTGAGAACTCTGAATGTATTTGTGGAAACCCCTGTGAGAATGCCTACCACTTCTTTTTCATATGTCCTCGTTATAATATACAAAGACGTACTCTTCTTTCAAATATAGATGATTTAAATCTGGATGTTGTCATTGATATCAATTTATTGCTCATAGGAAATGAAAATCTGTGGGTAGAAGCACGGATATAGATATACCTAATCTAATATAATTCTGTGGTAGAAGTAAACACTTCAATTTTTAGAAATGCGCAAAAGTACATAAAACCAGCCAAAGGTTTAGTTAATGTGACATGACATTAACTCATCATATTTATATCTGTTGTATTATTTCATTTATTGTATGAAAAATGGTATTCATTGTGATCAAATTATGCTATTTCTCAATTTATGTAAAATTTATTTTGGGGGGGGGCCTTTGTAATGTTGATATAACTTGTGCCTAATCCGTTTGCTTCATTTATGCAATAAAATATGTTTAAATCAATGCAGTAAATTCTCTTACAGTAATAGTGTGTTTTTATGTTTTTAAATATGAATGAAAAACAGTGGAAATGGGGCATTCAATAAACAGTAAAGTATAAGTATGGATAGGAAGATATTTCGGCTTATAACTGACATGCGCATTTTTTGTTTTGTAAATGTATGCATTATCGGATATTCGACTGTTCTGCAAGACTTAACAATTCCTCTGTACTTTCGTGTCTTTGAATGTTCTTTGTTTTTAAAACTAGAGAAAGACAGAATCTCTTCAATATGTACTGCGTAATGTTATCATTATCCTAATTGTATATTTATATACAATATATCATTGTTAAAATGTAAGCATCAATTCTGGATTATAGGCCTTTGATTCTTTTGAATGCATGTATTGACAAACACTAGTCTAATAATGGTGTAAATCATCTTTTTTATTTTCGTTCTTATACTCTCTTCAGGACTTTACGGTACCAACTGAAGAAAACAAACAAAGAGACCGGTAATTGATGCTAACAATTAAAACAACGAACCAGGGCAGATCCATAGCGACAGGGTTTAATATGGGGTTAGGACAACTTGTGGAAACCGGGGCAAGTTCGGCCCTGGAGTAACTCCGGGAAGCCTGGCATTGGCGGGAAAATATGGCGTTGCATGCTTTCTGACGTCATAATTATGCATGTTGTCAAACTTACCCTAAGGCGGTGCCATACGTTCTTCCAACAGTAAAGAGTTTAATAGCTCTTCAAATACTGCCCAGAACGACTTTAAATAATGAAAATGGGTCGAACTTGCCCCTGTCTACTTACCCGATATTTTGAAAGAAAATCCCACAGGCTGGCAGGGGTTTGGGTAGGGAAAAGGAATCCTTATAGTAACGACCCCCCCCCCCCAACAACAACAACAACAACAACAACAACAACAAAAAGTTGTATAGAATGGTGTATTGAATTATGCAAGGATCGGATTCCGGAGATTTACCGACTGTGCATAAAATGACTGAAACAGTTAAATTATGCAGTTTATTTCCCTTTCGGTTATATGGGTTGGCACTGTTACCGAAAGTTTATCTAAAAACCTTAAACAGTACGGTAATGTTTATCAAATAAACTATTATTTTGTATGTGTTATATTTCTAACAAACCATTGTTGCATCAAATAAAATGTATTTTGTTTCATTTTGTTCGGAGAGAAAAAAAATGAAAAAAAAATCGAAACTTCATTATATCCCCAAAAGTCTGAAGAAACTCCTGCAAGGTATGGGTTATTGTTCAGAATGATTTGGTTATGAAATAGCGATGCCGTAGAAAGAAAAAAAAACAATTCCTCATTTCAATTTTAGGCGGAGTTACGGGGATCCTTAACTACTAAGTCTTACAGTAGATCTAGAGTTGTTTCCCTTTAACGGAAGTTTTACTGGTTGACTTTGACGATGGCGAGTCTTGTGAAGTAGTAAGTAAACTATATATCGGTAGGGTTTTCAGTTTATGAGTATTGATGGAGTCATACATGGACACGCGAGCTCATATACAATTAATCAATTGAAAGTAGCTGTCATGTTTTCTCTTTGATCAATTAATTCACTCCATAAAGGTCGATTTGTTATGACGCAAAACAGAATTCATTGCATCAGAAATCAGAATTTGTTAAAACACGACTGACTTCCTCTTTTTCAACCAAATAGACCGACTGACTGATTTAACGTGAACATAACCTTTATTTTAGGTTGCATGCTTCGTGAATTAGGGAAACAGAGCATGACATTTCGTTTGACCAGACCGAGGTTCTTCTGGCCCTGACATCAAACTTAGACATTTCGAAAGATGTAAGTTATGTCTGGTGTGGAAGAGCGCACTACTATATTATGCAAATTTCAGCTTAAAGCTCTCACTCTCACGTTTTCATATAGTATTGAGCTCTAGCCCCACACCAGACATCTTTCTGCCAAAATGTCAAAGTCTGGTGTCGGGGCCAGACAAAACTCGGCCTAACACCTGACCCATATCGGAAGAGAGACACAGTTTTCATCATTGCGGTCAATTCAGATTTCAATTGCTCTCGCTACTTAAACTTTATCATCTAACAAAATTTAAGGCAGACTTTTACATTAAGTTAAAAAGAAGATCAAGACAAATAATTTGTATTCTAAAACCTGTGCACATGAATATCGAATGCGTGACCTATGTGCTGTAAAGAAATACGAAAATTGCCCCAGTGTAATTCTTCCTGGGCTTGTTACAAGGCATGGGATCGATATAATACCCAGCTAGGGCAGAGGAGACCGGGTATAAGCAATATTAGAAGATAAGTTTTACTTGGATAAATCATCTATTGCATCATAAAATGAAAAAAGTGTATAAAGAAATAATGTATTTTTGGTATCATCAATTATTACAATACATTATACGATTGCACTTGTGTGCATAAATAACCAGTATCAGTTAAACCAATAATTCATTGTTAAATGGACAAGATTAACATATCACTAAGTGTTAAAGTTGTTTATTTTGTTATTTGTAGCGGGGCTAGTTTAGGAAAACTTGGCCTTCTCGGTGGGGCGGTTGGGGTAACCACCCACTACGGTGTTTGGGGCGACACACAACAAGGGGTCAATGCCTACAAGAACATGCAGGATGTGATGGAGCCATATGTACAATCTCAGGAGCAAATATCACAGGTAAGAAATCAAAAATCATTACTGGAGCCTATAACATTACAGCATGGGATATAACACTAGTTCTTTGGTCTGAGACAAGGTGTAGATATAACACAGCATAGGATATAACACTAGTCCTTTGGTCTGAGACATGGTGTAGATATAACACAGCATGGGATATAAACACTAGACCTTTGGTCTGAGACAAGGCGTAGATATAACACAGCATGGTATATAAACACTAGTCCTTTGGTCTGAGACAAGGTGTAGATATAACACAGCATGGTATATAAACACTAGTCCTCTGGTCTGAGACAAGGTGTAGATATAACACAGCATGGGATATAAACACTAGACCTTTGGTCTGAGACAAGGCGTAGATATAACACAGCATGGGATTTAAACACTAGTCCTTTGGTCTGAGACAAGGTGTAGATATAACACAGCATGGGATATAAACACTAGTCCTTTGGTCTGAGACAAGGTGTTGATATAACACAGCATAGGATATAAACACTAGACCTTTGGTCTGAGACAAGGCGTAGATATAACACAGCATGGTATATAAACACTAGTCCTCTGGTCTGAGACAAGGTGTAGATATAACACAGCATGGTATATAAACACTTGTCCTTTGGTCTGAGACAAGGTGTAGATATAACACAGCATGGGATATAAACACTAGTCGGTAGTCCTTTGGTCCGAGACAAGGTGTAGAGTTCGACCCACAGAAACTGGTCTTTCAGATTAACTAGACTTGGATTTATAGAACAATAACATTATCTCCTCTAGACGGGTAGATCTAGATTTTAGCAAGGATTATAGTATATCGCAAAAAACAAACTACTGTTTTTCTTCAGATTTCTAAAAATAATCTTATTAGAATATCACTTGACTTAAAGATAAACTTCTTAGAATCTTTTCAAAAACTGCTTGAAATGCAGAAAAATTGTCAGCTTCTAGTTGCGTTGACACTGAATGTAATAAAAGTTATATTATGCATTGTTTTCACCTGAGGAAGGGATAGTGTAATCCCTCCCCTATATTTTAAATTCAGACTTTCTCTTTATCATACTACCAGTGTCACTCGTTCTGTCAAACCTTGAGAAAGCGCTGTTATCTGTTAAATTTGTACTCGGTGTGCCAAGTAAACTTAGTTCATTTGTATAATGTTTGTAGCAATGTTCAAACCTTACAGCAAATGTAAAATGGAGAGAAAATTTGCTAATAAATCAAACAAATATTTTATTGAACAAAATATGTGTTTCACAAATGAAAAAACAGGCACATACTTTTTACAAAAAGAGTGAAATATTTGGGAGGATACATAATTGTGTTTAACTTTCATTTAATTTGATCTTTTGCCTCCATTGAAAAAATTAAGGAAGAATTTTTAAAAAAATCAGAAAGATTTGTCTCCCTTCACATATGAAAAGGATGGAATTCAACTAAGATTATAATATCAAAATGTCCTGTCAACATAATTATCCATAATTTAACATATACATGTGCAAGCACCGTCCATACCTACAGTGTTTTCCACAAAAATTTACTGATAATCCATGAAAAGGTAAAAATAAATCTTTTCTGTATCAACACAATGTATTTAGTGATAATATACACACAGAGATAATCCTGGGGCACAATTCCGCGGGAATCTCACATACATTTCACATAAATTGCATCACTTTATTACTCACGTAGAAATAAATCACGCTATCTTTTCCCATGCACGAAAACTTAAAAGTGACTAACTCTCAGAACGTACAGTCCATTTGAGTCCGTTTGACATGGCCGCCATCTTTCCTTGTAATAAACATGTAATCGATCGTGCCTATAAACGCCTAGGGGATCATGATTTGGGTTTTCATAAAACGTATAAAACATTGATGGATTCGGAACAAATTCCAGATTTTCCTTTTGCACGAACGTATTTTTGTCAAAATAGTACATACTATTGTGCCCCTTTTTTTCTCTCCAAAAAATGTGCTTTTATTACACAAGTAAGACTGGAATAGGTACTTTCATCAACACATATTTCATTTCCATTCAGTCTGAATAAATCATGAAATTTGGTTATGTCCATTTGTTGGTTTTGAATTTTGCCGCCCAAAGAATATTTAATTATTTTCCAAAAAGTTGCAATAATATACAATGTCTAAAGTATATATAATAAGCTGAAATCTATGGTTTAAATTTTTCTGAGGGAGACCCCATATCCTCCTTGAGGGAGGGGGCAGCTGCCCCATACCGCACCCTGCCTCGTCGCTAAGCTCCTCATTGCTTTTAGAAGAGGGAGATTTTTTATCTCATCAAAAAAATCCCAGGATTATCCCTGCATACATACAGCTTATGTTGTTTCATAACAACATTAAAAGATATCAGGATTTCAAAAAATTTATTGTTCTTTTATGAAATGTAATTAATTCCACTGTGACCACTACATATGGTACTAAAATTTTATTATATGCATATAATAAATGTTAGATGTTAGATGTTTCCAATAAGCACTTTTATTATTTTTTTCATATTATTTCCGACAAGAGATTGGTCAGGGGTGCATTATATATATGTGTCCACCGATAAAAACGGATATTGACTTGGAGCGCATGATTTTTGTTGAAGGACTGGGTGTTTCTAAAAATAGAATTAAGACATGTCACCAAACAATCATCGTCGCGCTTTCGTAGTTTTTTCGTTGTGTTATTTTTTCAGATTGCTTACATTACTGTTGTGAAAATAATAAAACATTTGTAGCCTTTAACTTTGGTAAATCCGGGTATCGACCTCAGCCAAAGACTATAATTGAATAATGCTAAATGCTCTATTACAAGCTGACTTTGTATCAATTTGTAGGTCCTAATGTTCACGATTTTAAATTCTCTGCAGGTAGCTAATTCCAAGTCCTAATGGTAGTAAGTCACGGACACGGAGCAAGTTATATTTTTCATTTATAGACTATTGAAAATTGCAATCAAAATGATGTCATAAGAGAATGTTGACCTAAAAATAGTTACACCGAGTCAATACCACAAATCACTGACCTCCAAGTGATTATGATCCACCAATGAGTATGTAGGATGTGTGATCTAATAGTTCCAATGAAATTTTGCAGGGATCTTCCATGGACAAAGGTCAACAATAATAGTGGCCAGTTTAGTCCCAAGCCCCAAGGGGCTTAAGGGGCAGGGCCAAAAAGGGTCAAATTGACTAAAATTTCAAAAATCTTCTTCTCAAAGCCCAGATATGGTAGAATCAAATACTCTTCATATATGGAAGGGTCTTAAGGTGTGAATTTCTTGACCATGGGGTCTCACGTTTCCCCCTGGGGAGAGGGTAAACTTTACTATAGTTTATATAGGGAAATCACATTTTGGACCAACATTTGTTTAATTTCCATTGGAAGTAATTCAATTTGGGTTAGCATTATCAGTATTAGGTAGCAGTTTGATAATAAGCACATATCAGCCCTGACTGACCCCCAGGGGCTGATGGGTGGGGCCAAAAAGGGTCGAATTTACTGAAATTTCAAAAATCTTCTTCTCAAGACCCAGATATGGTAGAATCAAATACTCTTCATAGATGGAAGGGTCTTAAGGTTTATGACCCTAGGGTCTCACGTTTACCCCCTGGGGAAGGAGGGGGGGGGGGGGGCAAAATTTATTATGGTTTATAATGGCAAATGATACTTTGAATATTACATGTTAATAACTTGATTGGAATTATAACCTTGAGTTGACAGTTTGATACTTTGAAAATTTTGAGCCAGCCCTACCCCCAAGGGCTGTAGGGTGGGGCTCAAAGGAGTCAGTGTGCTAAAATTTCTTCATTTTCCTTGTTTAGAATTAGAGGTGCTAGTTTCAAATACTTTTTAGTCTGAAATCTGTATGCTAGATATTGAATAAGGTGGTTTTATTGTTTTTTGTCACTTTGAATAATATTTCTGTTCATGTTAAAAACAAAATCAACTCTCTGTATAAATATATCAGGTGACCGTTAAGGCCCATGGGCCTCTTGTTATGGGTTTATGTTAGGGGTGAAATATAATTAATTTTTAGCTCACCTGGGATGACTTTATGATGGAAGTCAGTATAAAATTTGTGGAATAGAAAGTTTTTGTCTTTATTGTGTATGATGGTGTATGTTATGTTTGTTTACAGGTCAAGTCCATGACATCGTCAGCATTGACCAGCAGTTCTGGGATAGACATCATCAGTAAAACCAAGTCTGTGTTCTCTGTGGATACATACAACAAGGGTCAGTAGTGTGGTTTAGTATCTGCTGTACTGGTTCACATATCTTCTATACTGGTTCACATATCTACTGTTCTGGTTCACGTATCTACTGTACTGGTTCACGTGTCTACTGTACTGGTTCACATATCTACTGTACTGGTTCACATATCTACTGTACTGGTTCACGTATCTACTGTACTGGTTCACGTATCTACTGTACTGGTTCAC